AACTGGTTCAAGAGCAATGCCACTGCTGATGCTCATGACCTTGATGATCATGTTGCCGCTCTGAATGCTCATTACCCCACCACCACATACTGGGAATGGCTCGCACGCCCCTCCCGTTCCCGCCCTCGTGCTCGCCCCCACTGGGATTGCGTGCGCTGTGCCTGTTGCATCTCTGGAGGCTGCAGATTTGCTGTTGTGCAGTGTAGAGTGCGACAGCATGTCATGACTGTCCGCACTGTTTGCTTCCCTGAAAAGCCCAAAACCAAAGAAAGATAGTATGAGAGAATGAGAGTGAACTTTCTCCGATTGTCGAAATATTTTCCGATCAAGTGTAGAGTGCTTGTTCCGATCTCACGAAGGGATTGCAGGAAGTTCCGAAAGTTTTCCCCGAAACTCCGAATGGAGATTGGAGGTTTCGCCCGAATGATTGGCGAAAGTCTGGTGAATGCTGGGCAATTGTCTGGCGAATGTTTGCCGACCGCTTTCCGAATTCACTTGAAATGTAGTCCTCTGAGAGAATGTCTGACCATGTATAGTGTCGAAAGGGGGGAGACTATCTGAGACACTTGTGTTGCGGATTGAGGTCAATGTGTTTCCTCTCAGGAATGTTTCCTCTGAGTGCTTCCGAGTGCGATCTCCGACTGCCTCGTGTAGACTGCCGCCTCCTTTGCCAGTGTGAAGCAATGGCCCCTAGGACTGTTGCCGTGATGCGGCAGAATGTGATGCCCATCCCTGAAGAAAGGATTGAGGCTATCACTGGCGAAGAGGTGGCTGTGGATTTGGCGGCACCGAGTGGCAGAGATGTGAATGAGATCAAGACAGAAGCTGTGCAGACCACACTGGTCGCAATGCACATGATGGGACAAATCCGGCTGAATGGCAGTTTCAGTGCACTGGGTGCTTTGAGGAAGATTGTCCAATGGGCCAATCAGAATGTCTACGTCTACGCGCCAAGTGAATGCGACGAACCGATTGCCTTCGTCGTCTTCACAAGGACGACTGCAGAGGCTCGCGCAGATGCACGAATGTAGGACCTGGATCTGGGAGGAATCAAATGAAACTCGCGAATTACTTTAATCGTCAGTTCACTGACCACATCTCGACTTTCGAGCCGACTGACTCGAATGGAAGCAACCGATTGTGGATCATGTCGCCGGAGTCGATTGACTCAATGGGCATCTTGCGAGTGTCCTTGAATGACCCAATTAATGTGTGTACCCTTGCCCAAGATCCTCTGGTGCCTTGAGTGGGGATACCGAGCCAGGACTGGTGGAATGGCGCCTGATGGGACACACGATGGTGCCCCTGAACCAATCCTGTTGGAGCAGAATACCTGGAATGGTCCCAACAGCAGCACGACTGTCCAGCCAATGGCATCGACTGCTAACTCCGTCGTCCAGGTCACCAACGCCCTGAAGCCCGGCGCGGCGATTGTCCGGAGGATGAATGCCAAAGGCACGAAGTGAGGCCGCGAGTGAGCCCGGAATAAATGTAGGAGTGCAAAGCCGTTCTGCCATGTGAAGTCTTTGTTGAAATGTTGAATGGCTGTTTTCTGTGGATTGCAGAGACGGAATTTCTCGGACTCAATGCCCGACTGCCCGCGATTGCTATGTGCAGCAGTGCAGTGGTGCATCAGGCCTCCAATGACTCGAATGTCAACGCAGTCAAGCCAAAACGTCCGGAATGAGACCAATATCAATGTTGTTTGTGAATGGTTCTTGATCGCTTTGCACATGCTGCTATGTACCGTTAATTCTTTGAATGATCCTCGACTGAAGTCAGGATCAAGGGATTGTGTTGAAAGACACGACCCCAATGTACCCCTGAACATTCACGATGCGTTTTTGAATGCTACCGAGGACTGGCTTGGTCGCATAAAGGAATGCTTGCTTGACTGTGTGTGACTGGGGAAAATGGTTGATCTTGGTTGCTCGGGATTGTTTAAATTTTTTTAATTTTTACACCCTCTCTCTCTCGCTTTCTCGCTCTCTGTTTGTGGCAAAACATCTGGTGAAGAGACAGTTGACAGGAAAGTAATCTGTCTAGCATTGTCAGTTGACGGAATCTGTTCGTTTCCAACCGGCAGATATTCTTTAGTTGGTTTTATCGGCTTTTGGTTGCAGGAGGCCCATGACGATGACAACAGTGGTGCGACCAAGATGAAGTTGTTTTGCGACTTCATAAAAGCCAACTCCCAGGAGTTAATCTCGCAGGCGAGTCGTAACTGCACAGTGTACCTGCTCAAGAAGAAGCAGGTCCGAAAGGCTCAACGGCCTCCGAGTACTGCTGGAGGGGGGGAGAAGCCAGCTTTCTTCCAAGTTCGTCGAGATGGAGCCAAGGCAACAAGAGACAAAGAAAAGACGAATGAGAGCCGCTCGCAGCAGCCGAACTTAAATCAATAGACGAACGGGACTACACCGATGCTTGGGAGCAGCATCTGCTGCAGTGTCGTATTCAGGGCGACGGGATCAAGCCGACGAGAGATCCATGTCCATCATGGGAAGAGGACGGGAATAGCAGACAGTTGGCAGAGATGCTATTCTTTCTCATGCAGAGGGAGGTGTGCAAGAGAGATCACATTGTGACCACCAGCGAAGATCACAAGATAAATCTCACAGAATCTGGTTCGGCCACGCTGGAATTTACAATTTCTTACGCAGATGGTGCCGTGACCGTGGAGCCTGCGCTGTCCCACAAAGGCAAGCCCGCACAAGCAAACCCACAAACGCAAGCCGACGTCGAGGAGGAAGTTTCGTCCTGGGCAGGCCAGGGTTTTGAGCGTTCGCAAGCTTATGATGTCGCTTCGTCGGCACCGTTGGGGGCGAATGAGCCGAGGCATGTGTTCCCATCTAGTTCTTATGACCTGCACGACAGAACTTTCTGGTTGCGTGCGAAGAACGATATTGATGCTACCTTCGTCGCTCTAAACATACCAAGTTCCATCGACCTCAGTTTCGAGAGCCTTAGGCGGCCGTTGGCGCAGTTTTTGGCCGAGGAGCAGTTCGTCGGCGTTTATGACTTTGAGTTCGAGATGGACACTGGGAGCTTCGCCCGCTTGGACCCCAACTCCGCGAAACACCTGGAGAGGAGACTGAACCTGAATTCCAATCAACTCAAAATGCAATACTCCCCTTCCTTGAGGATGAAATCCTCCAGTGTCACTAGTTGCTTCGTTCCCTCAGCCCATGTCTGACCTTAGGCCAGGAATGCTGTGGCATAGAGCCCCTGCGGTTGGCGAGGATGGAGTCAACAAAACAAAGTTGTGACAAAAACCAGCATCTCTGCATATTGTATGCTTGCATCTACCTTCACCTCTACTTCGGGACAAGACCCGATTCTGCACGAAGCTCAACAGACATTGTCTCGTGCCATGAGGGCACAGGTTCTTGTTTGGTTTTTCGCCTGGAAGGTACCACAGCTGGTGACTCTGCCCAGAAGGTGCGCCGCCGACTTGTTTGGAAGATGCTGTTGCATTGCTGTCATATCTGTCGTAAGAGCTTCGTGTTTAACAACATGTGACATGCGAGAGGCAGGGAAATTTGGTTTCCAAAATCAGTAGGCAGCACGTTACAGCGAGAGGGGGCAGGAGCCGTTCGAGGTCCCCGCAGCAGCATGTACTAATGCCCCCAGCTGCAGCATGCTGCGGCCTTTGTGTGTGTGTGTGTCGCTGGAGGCTGGCGTCACGTTGTGTAAGTGTTTACTGCTTGCTCTCGTGCGTGTGATGTTGTATCGATACTGTTTTGGTCTACTGCAATCGGCAGGGGCGACATACCGTCATGAGACTGAGGCGGTGAGATTGCACCCGGTCGCGCTGGCAATGCTAGTCGTCTCCCCCTTTTTTATAATATATAACCGGGGGGGCACAACAACTCAGTTATTAGGGTGCATTTCTATCTCTATTGCCATATTTGGGTAGTTAGTTAAGTTGTAATCAGTAGCTAAGTGACAGTAGGAACAACAATGAAAAGAAACACAAAGACCGACAGAGAGAGAGGGAGAGATTGAAGGGATCGCGCATTTTTCTTTGGAGCCCTGAACCCCACCCCCTGTTTCAGAAAATCAGTAGCTAAGTGACAGTAGGAACAACAATGAAAAGAAACACAAAGACCGACAGAGAGAGAGGGAGAGATTGAAGGGATCGCGCATTTTTCTTTGGAGCCCTGAACCCCACCCCCTGTTTCAGAAAAGGTTTTAAAGGACAGCGATGATTTCGAGAGGATTCGCTCCGATGTGTGTTTACTGTTAGGGGGGTGTTTAAGAAATAAAAGGGGGAAGTGATTAGTATGTACCGGAGTGGTTCTGTATGGTTCTGTAAAGTCCTGCTAGCGCTTTTTGTGGACGATTGTCCAAAGCTTGAGGTTGAACCACAGTTTAGAGAAATGCATGGCCGGTGCGAGAGTTGCTGAGCGGCTCCTGTTGAACGCTTGCAGCTGAGACACGATGCCCGCATGGCGACGTGTCCTGCTGCTTTTCAGACTTCCTACATAACAGTGGCTATATGGTGTATCTCGAGTTTGATACTCGACAGGTGTGTTTTGAGCTGCGGCGCCAGGTCTGGATGTTGTGGAGCAAGGAAGGCATGTGGCCACTCCAGTAGCATGTTGGTGGGCCATGTGCTTCCAATGATAAGATATATGAGCACTAACATGTCTTCATTAAGCAAATTCTTTCCGCTCACTTGCACAGCCCCACAGTTCATTGAAAGCAGTGGGTTGCGAGCCTGCAGTGTGCGACAACGTCCCTTCATATTTTTGCAGAAATCTGATATTTCGCTTCAGCTGGACAGCTGACATGAGATGAACATCTTTCCTGAACACAGACGTAGCTCCCACTGCTTATCATGGCCGGCGTCGAAAAGCTTGCATGCTGTTAGTCTGGCCTCTGCAGAAGCAAAGTGCTCTGTCGGTCCGTTTAGCAGGAGCAAAACAAGACTTGACCTGTTGCATCGAGGGTTTCGTGCTCAAGAGCGTAATCAGTTGTGAAGAAGCACTCCGGCAAACATGGCGTTCCTGGGCACAATAGTGAACAAAGTGGTGGACGCAGTGCCTCTTCTGAAACCAACGCTTGCTGACCAGGTCCGCCAGTCGGATCTGCCATTGAAGGCGAAGGAGCTCGACCTGGGTCTTATCGGCAGCACGGACGACTTCGACAACGCCGTGTGCGCCTTCGGCCCGGACGCAAACGATACCGTGTATGTGGCCAAGCACTCCAGGCGCCTAGACGGCTTGTCTCACTCTTGCGGCTGTGTTGTCAAAGAGGTGCGGTTGCCACCTCTGCGCCAGCTGCCTGTCCCGCAGGGCAGGACCGGGAGCACCCTCTCCCGACCAGATTTCCTGCAGGAATGGATGAGGCACATGATGCCCAGCATCAACAACCTAAGTTTGTGGGACCTGTGCTTGCCAGGCACCCACGACACCTTGACGTACGACCTTTCTGACTGTCCGGCGAAACATGATACCATTCCAGATTTAGGCCCCTTGAACGAAGAGCCACTGAAGAGAGTGGCTATGCCTGAACTGCGCAAGCTTTGTGCATGCCAGACGATCGACATTGATGCACAGCTTGATGCTGGGATCCGTTTCCTGGACATCCGCGTCATCTACTCAGACTCTCGCAGCCGATGGGTAGGAGTTCATGGCATGGAAACCAAGCAAGAGGCCGTGTTCTACTTGAAGAGGATCCACGACTGGTTGCGGGCACACTCCAGTGAGATCGTGGTGCTTTGGTTTTCCAGGCACGGGAATGAGGAGGCAACAGGGCACGACCAGTACCCGCACACGCCTGCCGAAGAGAAGCAGAAGTTCTACAAGCAGATCTTGGATATCTTTGGCAACCTTGTGGTGGAAGATGGTGAAACCTTCTTGAAGCATGTGCCGATACAATGCCTCGTTGCTGAAGACAAGCGTGCGGTGTTGATCTGCTCGGACTGGGACGAGTTCACAGGAAGGTCCGGTAGTGCTATGGATGGTGCACAGGTGCTTCAGAACCACCTGCCTGGCGGTTTCGACGATCCGGTACTTGATGCCCTGCGAGTCTTCAGCCGCCTGAGCTTCGACCGCAGCAAGTTTCAACTCGTCTCTCTTGCCAACAGTGCCGACAAAGGGGCCGTGCTGAAGCAGTTCCTGCCCGGACTCGCCCGCAGTGCCTACGGAGCCTGCAGCACAGTCTCCGGTGTGTTTGGCGGGAGCCCTCTTCCCTCAATCAGCAAGTTCGAGAATGTGCCTGGGATGACCAGCAACCCATGGAGACTGGACGACAGTGCAAGGTTCAGCAACTACCATGCGCAGATAGTTCTGGACATCGTGTGGAAGAGGTGCACCCTTCCGCAGGCGATTTACATCGACATGGTGACAGCAGATGGCGGCATCGACATCGGAAACGGCCAGAGGTTCGGGTATGTCGACACTATCCTTGCGTACAATGCAGTTCAGAGTGGGGACCACGACTTGCTCACCAATATGATGGGACGCTTGCATCTGATGCCCGTCTGTAGGTGGGAAGATCGCCAGAACGGCCGCTCAGAAGTGTGGCCCCTGTGCAGCCTGGGGCACCATTAATTTTTGTACAAGCTTGTCAGGGCATTGCAGACAGTTGATGAGTTGCTGGGTCTGTAGCCGCTAAGCCGACGACAGACTGGAGCGGCAATCCTACACACGAGACGGCACCGTAAAGTCACATACACTGTAGATTGTCTTTGGCAGCTTTTGGGGCGGCATTGTAATGGGAGGGTTGCATAGCTGCTGGATCACATTGACGGCTCCTTGAGAAGCTTGGCCTCAATTCAGTCCGCCATTCTGAGTGCAGTGCGTGCCCGTCATAGTGACGGGGGCCTTTCGAGATGAATTCATAGTGCCAACAGTAAGCATCTTGTGATGTCCAGTGATACTTGCTGTATCAGAAAGGCGCACGGAGAAGCTTGATCTGAATTCAATCCGCGCTCCGTCATAGCGATGGGTCTTTCCGAGACGACGGCATAGCGCCCACGAAGACCAGTGCATACTGCGATTCGCACATGAAGCAAAAGCAGCACGAAGAGGTGGTTTTTACTGACACTCATGTTGCCGCTGCTGTTCCTAATACGGCGACGACAGCCGCGACAACGACCGCTATAAAGCATTATTTCTGCTCCCTCTGCTACCGCTAGCACTACCACTTCTGCTGCTATTCTACTTATACCACCTCTACTACTGAGCTGCCACCACCAGCACCATCACGACGACCCATTACTTCTGCTAGTACTGGTACTAGTACTAGTACTAGTACTGCTACTGCTACTGCTACTGCTACTGCTACTGCTACTGCTGCTACTATTACTATTACTACTACTACTACTACTGCTACTACTACTACTACTACTACCACTACCACCACCACCACCACGA